GTGTTTCATAAAGTATTTTGGAGACAGCTGATGTTCAAGTATCCTGTCATTCATTTGTTGACAATTCAGTGCCCATTAACTGCCTATTTATGAAAAACGGGTGGTGGTGGAGAGGGTGAGTGTCTGTAAGGTTGTGATCTCATGCTAATTTTTAATAAGACCTAATTAAAAAGAGAAAATTGAAACATATGCAGATTTAGAATAAATTAATTCAGTCATGAGATCTTAGTGCCAGTTTTGAACTAAAATATCCTGCAGATGGTAACGTGCCACGTGCCAATTAATATTTAAGATAATTATGGGTGTTGAGTAAAAAATACATTTGATTGACATCGTCTCCATTATTAGGCTTCGTGTGTGGTGCTGGTGGTAAAGAATCCACCTGCCAATGCAGGAGACATAAGAAATGCAGGTTTGATGCCTGGATTGGAAGATTCCCCTGGAGGGGGAAATGGCAGCCCACTCCAGTATGCTTGCCTGGAAAATTACATGGACAGAGGAACCTGGCAGGTTATAGTCCATGGACATGACTGAGCATGCTTGCATGCACATTTCCATTATTACTAGAGTGTAATAACAAAAAGACTGCATAATGAGACAGTCCTGAGATTTTGGAAATGGTTTTAATATTGATTCCTGATAACTTTCTACTGAGGCTAGGACTTCTCTCTCAGGAAATGAAGTCAGGAGTAACTAATTCCTAAGTAAGTATTTAAGTGAATAAGTAATTTTTTAGGCATAATGGCATGCTCTGTGTTGCTGTGGGACCTGGAGCAAAGATTCTTATCCTGGAATCATTGAAACTTTAGAGCGTCAACTCTTTTTTTTTATTTTTTAATTTTTTTTCATTTATTTTTATTAGTTGGAGGCTAATTACTTTACAGTATTGTAGTGGGTTTTGTCATACATTGACATGAATCAGCCATGGATTTACACGTATTCCCCATCCCGATCTCCCCTCCCACCTCCCTCTCTACCCGATCGGATAGAGCGTCAACTCTTAGGTGGGTAAAAATCCAGGAACATTATGTAAAATTTGCTGTTTGTGTGTATACATGTGCTTTTGGTTTTTAACCACGAAATTCCATAGTTTTCATCAAATGAAATGACTATTATTAAAATTATTTCTACTGGATCATGATTACTCGTTCCCTTAACTGTTCACTTATTATTTAATAATAAATGACTGCGATGAGTTACCAGCTCACTCATGTTTTGCTTTTATCTGGTGGACATTCAAACTAAAATGCATTTTGAGACTGTCATTACTGCTATTAATTGATAGTTAGCATTTATTCTCCAGTTTATTAATTATGACCATGTTCTATATAGTACAAGGTTCTATATAGTACAAGCCCTCACTTCCATGTATTTACATAATATATAATACAAATTTATGCTCAGTAATTACTTAATGATTTATGTTCTCTAGAATTATTTTTAAACATTTTAAAAATAATGTTACCTTCCTATATATTTATATTTTAAAAATGATATATTTGAATAGGTAACAATTATAATTAGAAAAAAAGGAAACATATTAATTCAGAGTCTGTCTCAATATAGTATATTCATGATTAAAGACTGCAGCTCATAATAAACTGTGTTGAGAACATTTATCAGTCTTAATAATCAGAAAAATAAGTCCAATAAAACAATGCAATGTGCATATTGTATTAAAACATATGCTATAAAACATATGATAGAATGGCAATAACAGTGTAATAATAAATGTATACATATATAAAATAGCATATACATAAAAATGATGGTAAACTTGAAAATATTAGCTAACACCATTTTTGGACATATCATTAAAGGAGTTTTGGTCAGGAAAATAGAAGCCAGTCTGTATCTGGGTCATATAGGTTTTAATACAGATGAATGGGTAAAGAAGATGTGGCACATATATACAATGGACTATTAGTCAGTCATCAGAAGGAATGAAATTCAGTCAGTTGTCATTTTGTGAATGAACTGAGAGCCTGTCATACAGAGTGAAGTAAATCAGAAAGAGAAAAACAAATGTCATATATTAATGTATATATATGGAATCTAGAAAAATGGTCTTGATGAACCTCTTTGCAGGGCAGGAGTAGAGGCACCAACGCAGAGAATGGACTTGTGGACATAGAGAGGCGGAGAAGAGTGTGGGATGAATTGAGAGACTGGCGTTGACGTATACACTACCAGTGTATACAGACGTATACACTGCCAAGTGTAAGACAGACAGCTCGTGGGAAGCTGCTCTATAGCACAGGGAGCTCAACGCGGTGCTCTGTGATGACCTGGAAGGGTGGCATGGAGGAGGATGAGGGGAGGCTCAAGAGAGAGGGGCTGTATGGATACATATGGCTGATTAACGCTGTTCTACAGCAGAAACAACACAACATTATAAAGCGATTATATTCCAAAGCATGCAGTGTGCTCAGCAACTGAGTCATGTCCAGCTCTTTGTGACCCTGTGGACTGTAGCCGGCCAGGGTCTTTTGCTCATGGGATTTCCCAGGCAAGAATATAATATTACTGGAGTGGGTTGCCATTTCCTTCTCCAGGAGATCTTCCCAGCCAGGGATCAAACTTGTGTTTACTGCATTGGCAGGTGGGTTCTTTACTGCTGAACCACCAGGGAAGCCCTATATTCCAATAAAAAATATGTAAAAAAAATAAAGACAGTATAGGAACACTTTAATTTACTTGGGAAAAAAAACCCAGAAACTTTCCATCTAACTTGAAAGTTAAAGGAAAAAAAGCTCATAAGATCTTGTGCTTTTTTTCTTTTTTTAACTTTCAAGTTATATGGAAAGTTTCTGAGTTTAAGTTAAAGTCCTGTTATCTGACCTAGTTTTGCTTTATCAGAGTAAAGGAAAGGCCTTCTGTGACAAGAGTAGTCTAGTTGGTCTTCCTATTTATTTTTCTCTTTATTTTCTCATTGCTTTTATAATGTATAACTGATTTAAATGGAATATATAATTTTTTTTTCTACAGAAGCAAAACCTAAAATGTCTTAAGTTATGTTCCACTGATGTGTAATTGGGTTTTAATTGAACCCTACATTGCTTTACCACATAGAGGAATGACCTCTTAAATTATACCTGTAATAATTGCAATTTTAAATAACAGAAGTAAAGAAGACCTGTGCCAGCTGATTGTTTGCTTACCTACTTTGTAGAATATAAAAACATTATATTCATTTGTCTGACAAATATGTTGCTTCACAATGTGTTTGTGGTAGAAATCCTTTGCTCTTTTTAGTTCCAACTTTATGTTCAGTCTGCACAGTTTTGAGATACCTTGAATTATTTTATCCATGTCTCTGAGATCAAATTGTAATCTTCTCATCTACAGGATCCATTTAGCCTCTAATCAGACAAATCCATGTGTTCCTAGACTGTTATAAATGTTAACAAAATCTCTGGGTTATGCAGCAGTTTCTGGTGTAGCAGTTCAGAAGAATGTATTTTACTGGGCTAAGAAATCTATGGATGCTTTAATCATTGTTTATTAGGACAATAAGGGACTTTAGTTCTAATAGTTCAGCCAGTCAGTTTCATGTCCAACTCTTTGTGAGCCCATGGACTGCAGCTCGCCAGGCTTCCCTGTCCATCACCAACTCCCAGAGCTTACTCAAACTCATGTCCATCGAGTCGGTGAGCCCATCCAACCATCTCATCCTCTGTCATCCCCTGGGTTTGATACACCAAATATTCATTCATTCATTTAACACCAGCTATGAGCTAGGTAGAATCTAGGGCCTAAGGAGAGAGTAGAGATCAAATCAGTTGGTCCCTGGGTCTTGGTGCAGTAGTAGGGGAGGAAGAGAGACAGGCACAAACTGAAGAGCAAATATGAAATGAGATGATTCTGGAGAGTGCTAAATGCTGTGATAAAAGATTATGAAATTTGTTAGGGTAAACTTTTTAAGAAGATATCATTAGAGACTGAATGATGACAAGCCAGCCATCTGAACATCCCAGAAAAGAACATTCAAGGCAGAGGAAATAGGCCACCAACAAAAAAAGACAATGGGATGGGAAATTTCCAGTATCCCTTCCATCAGCATGGCTAATACTTGATACACACTCTGTCGCTAGAGCCACTGTGTCTCACAGAATCTGAACTTAAAAAATGACAATTGACAGACTAGAATTCTGAGCTAAACCCAACAAGATGAAATGTGACTAATAGGAATCTAAAGTGGTGCATGCAGGTTCGTAAACCCAGTTACATAGCTCGAAATGATGTTCAGTTGGCTTGGCAGCTGTTGATAAAAGAACAGTCTGGGAATTCTAATTGACCACAAATTGGAGCTTGCTCTTGCCATTTCTGACCGGCAAAAGCAATGTGTAGGTATTACCCTTAGGCAGACTTCTCCCCAGTTTAAAGCATCACTAAAGTGGTCCAGAAATGGAACTCTCCATTGCTTCACTCATTAAAAATAAAAAAAAGAAAGAAGAGAGCAAGAAAGAATGAATAACTTTCAGACCTTTTGAAAAAAAGAAACTTCTGTTAAAGAACCAGTTTAAAATATTTTTTGGTTTCTGTGAAGCTGTGACTTGTTACTGGTTTCTTTCATTCCAACATTTTCTTCATTTGGGGATATTTATGTATAGTTAAGAAAGAAAAATGACATTGGCATATAAATCATATGATGAGGTATATTGAAAATTTGATATATAATGGCATCTCTCAAAATAGTAACCTGAAACTTATTTGACTGTAATTTTTCAAAAGAACTTAAACTTCCAGTATGTTTTGGACAAATAAAATATTAAAACTCCAAATATGTCTTGACTTTGCTATGTATTAGCCATGTAATATAGACAATTTACTTTCCTCAAAATGAGACCAATAACTTGTACCTGCCTGAAAAGATTGTTAAGAGAATTAAATTAGTTGCTGTGTATAGAGCAGGTAAAGCAGTGCCTAGTAATAGTAAGTGATGTGTATGTGTTTGCTGTTATTATTAGATATAAATGTATGCTCTACTCTGCCTTCAGGAATTAATGACCAAGTTAATAACTGAGACACCTGACCAGCCAATCCCATTTCTCATTGACCATCTTCAGTCAAAACAAGGAAACCGTGGGCAACTTCAAAGAACCTTATCTGGATCTGCAGCTCTCTGGGCAGAAAGTGAAGCATTAGGTAAATGAAAAGATATATTTTAAAGTTAATGTTAATACATTTAATGTAAAATTTATGAAAGTCTTTCTTTTTATAACAAATAAATCTAGATAATTACCTAGGGTTTCATGTATTCATTGGTGTTGACCCATATGCTAGAACTTTTCAAAAAGTATTCTTGAATTAGAATATATTGTTATTTATTAGGCTTCCAAACATGAGAATCTTTGTATTCAATTTGAATAGAAGCTTAAGATTCAGATTTGCATGGAAAGCTTTCATTTCATATGAATTCAAACTAGTTATTTTAAACTTTAGTTATTTATTCTCTTTTTATGAAGAACTTGAATTAAGTGCTCATAGCTCCTCTGGGTAAAAAGGTAAACAGTACAGTTCTAGAGTTACTTTTTTGTAGCCCAAATGAATAATTATTCTCTGTTTCCCTCAGTTCTAATTTTACCTTATGTTTTAAGTTCAACCTGAGGAAGATTTATTTACTGTAAACATTGGGGGACCAGCCTTACCTCTCCAGTAAGCACTAGTGAGATAATTGGGTAGACTTGTCCTTGATTTTTATTTATAAAATGTGTGTCTGATAGCTTAGTTCTTCTACACACTAGTCTGTTAGTTTGGTATTTACTTCCAAACCCAAATCCCACCCCCAGTCCTGTGACTTGAGTAGCTAAATCCTCACTTGACTCCCACGATATCTGACTGACTGGATTCCAAATGCTTTCTGGGGATAGCACCGTTGCTTCTCTTCTCTTCATGTCCTCTGGGATCCCATGAAAGGATTCTGGTTCTCTTTGGCTGTATTCTCACACTGGTGCTTAAAGTGGGTAGGGGATAGGATATTCTCTGCAGAATGTAGACAACTCTGGTGTTAGTTATCTATACAGAAGTTCTCTGCTGCATACAGGAAACCAGAATATGAGCTTTTGGTATAATAAGAGGGAACTCTTGGTTTTTCTTGGTCACTTTCTTAGGGTTAGATTTTAGCAAGGTGAGTATTAGGTATAGGCTCTGGTTTCTAGTTGCAAAGAGGAATCCATTCTTGTGAAGGTGGACCAGATAAACATCCATGAGCCCATTAAAACTCATAGGAACCCATATTTGTAAGTTATCATGTCTGGAGAGACAATAGTGTATTAAATTCTATAGCATTAATCAACACTCATTTAATAGCTCCCATTTACCACAAGTCAAAAGTCTGTTGGGTTTAAGCAGATCTTCTGTTTCATCATACAAAGCTACAGATCAAGATGTTGGCCAGGTTGTATCTTCATCTGGAGGCTGGAATAAGAAAGAATCTGCTTCCAAGTTCATTCAGGTTGTTGGCAGAAGTAATTTCCTTGTGAGTATGTGACTGAAGTCCCTGTTTTCTTGCTGCGTCTCAACCAGCAGCTGCTCTCAACAAATAGGTATAGCCCACAGTTCTTTGCCACACAGCTCTTGCATTATGGCAGCTTATTTCTTTTTGTTTCCTGAGAGAGAATTTGTTGCTGTTGTTGTTCAGTTGCTAAGCAAACTCAGTTTGCTAAGTTGCTAAGTTGTATCCAAGTCTTTGGGACCCCATGGACTGCAGCATGCCAGGCTTCCCTGTCCTTCACTATCTTCCAGAGTTTGCTCAGATTCATGTTCATTGAGTCGGTGATGCTATCTAACCATCTCATTCTCTGTCGGCTGCTCTTCCTTTTGCCTTTAATCTTTCCCAGCAACTGGATCTTTTCCAGTGAGTTGGCTGTTCACATCAGGTGGCCAAAGTATTGGCGCTTCAGCTTTGGCATCAGTCCTTCTGATGACTTCAGGGTTGACTTTCTTTTAGGATTGACTGGTTTGATCTCTTTGCTGTCCAAGGGACTCTCAAGAGTCTTTTCCAGCACCATGATTCAAAAGCATCAGTTCTTCAGCACTCAGCCTTCTTACATTTATTTATTTATTTTTGAACTTTTAATTTTGTATTGGAGTGTAGCCAGTTAGCAATGTTGTGAGAATTTCAGGTGAACAGTGAAGGGGCTTAGCCATACGTATACATGGATCCATTCTCCCCCAAGCCCCCCTGCCCTCCCTCATTAGGCTGCTACATAACATTCAGCAGAGTTCTGTATGCTATACTGTAGGTCCTTGTTGGTTATCCATTTAAAATATAGCAGGCTTATTTCTGTAACAAGGAAGAGAATTTCTTTCAGTAAGGTTTACTAAGATGGAATCTTATAATACAATATATCGTGGCATTGACATCCTATCACCTTTGCTATATTCTGTTGATTTGATGAAAGTCAAAGTCTTGAATATGTTCAAGAGGAGGGAATTATTTAGGGCATACATGAGGGGACAGAGATTGGGGGATGGATCAGTTTAGAATTTTGACTAGCACAAGTACTTAATAACTCATTGCTTGGAGAGAGAAGGAGATTTTTATAACTCATAGTTGTCTGATTTGGGTAATGGTAGAAGTGATTGTTCATAAAGCAAGAGACTCCCTTGGAAGCAAGGAGATCAAACCAGTTAGTCCTAAAGGAAATCAACCCTGAATATTCACTGGAAGGACTGATGCTGAAGCTCCAATACTTTGCCACCTGATGCACAAGAGCTGACTCACTGGAAAAGACCTTGATGCTGGGAAAGATTGCAGGCAGGAGGAGAAGGGGGCGACAGAGGATGAGATGGTTAGATAACATCACTGACTCAGTGGGTATGAGTTTCAGAAAACTCTGAGAGATAATGAAGGACAGGGAAGCCTGGTGAGCTGCTGTTCATGGGGTCACAAAGAGTGGACGCAACTGAGTGACTGAACAACAACAGAATAAAGCAAGAGAGGAACACAGGACTAAAATTCATCCAGCTTCTTTGGATGAACTTGAATTTCTTGGGGCATCTTAGTAGGTAATTCTAGTAGACTATTGGATATGAGTCTAAAACTTTGGATGGGTTAAGGCAGAAGTTTCAGGAATAGCGTTCAGGATTGTGCACATTAAAATTATGAGAATGGAAGAATGGAAGAAGTTGTGCTTAAATTTAGTGTAGGAGCTGGACTGAGATAAGGCAAGTGTGAGATGATATCTTTCGCCTATGTTTTGCCAGTTTTTTAAGAAGTGAAGTTGTTTGCTGAGGACAAGAGTTTTGGGGAATAAATTGGGGAAATTGAAGTGAATGATAATGATTGTGAGGAATAAAAAGAGACTTGGCAAAGGAAAATAAAAAAGGACTGAAGCATTCCAGGGGCTTATCTGAAATTTAAGACATGAAGCAATAATCATGGAAATTATGGGCAGGGTTGTGGTTTTCCCCCCACAGTGCCCAGAAGTGCTAGGAGGAAGGGGAGAAAAGCAGTTTGAGAGACTGATGAGAACTGTGGATGTATCGCAGTGAGGATGAAGGGTGGACAGACAGTTTTATGAAGGTGTTGAGGATGTTTGTGGGTAAATTGTACAAGCGATCAAAGCATGTGGCCCAGTATGAGAGGGAGGGAACAAGGAAACAGTCTAGACATAAAAAGCAGATCAGAGAACTGAGAATCTTTAAGAGGCCAATATAAGGGAAGGTATGGTGAAAATATGAAAGATTGAGAAGGCCAGGGAAATTGTGATGTTTGGGACCAAGACTTTTGAGGGGAAATGATTCCAGATGATGAGAAAGTCCTGTAGGTGGCCTGAGTTTGTGGGCTCTGAAGTTCAGGGAAGTGAGGTTCTTTAGGGTTTGAGAGGACAGTGAAATGTGAGACTCAATACATGGTTTGTTTAAGAAATTAAGAGGTCACCAGGGTTTCATTCTGGTTGTTGAAAGGTCAAGGGCAACTGTGCCAGTGTCTTGAGTAGGGCTGCAAGAGTAATCAGGAGCAGAAAGATGCAGTGATGAAGAGTGGTGAGCAGTATAGACACACAGCACTCACCACAGGAGAGGAGAAACTTTCAGCTCAGCATGGATAGACCGTATTTGTTTTTCTCTTTCTGACTTACTTCACTCTGTATGACAGACTGTAGGTCTACCCAGATCTCTACAAATGACCCAGTTTCGTTCCTTTTTATGGCTGAGTAATAGTCCATCATGTATATGTACCACATCTTCTTTATCCATTCATCTGTCACTAGATATTTAGCTTGTTTCCTTGTCTGAGCTGCTGTATACGTGGAATCTAGAAAAATGGTACAGATGAACCTATTTCCAGGGCAGGAATAGAGACGCAGGTATAGATAACAGACTTGTGGACACAGTAGGGAAGGGGAGGGTGGGATGAATTGGGAGATTAGGATTGACATATATACACTACCATGTATAAAATAGAGAGCTGGTGGGAAGCTGACATGTAGCACAGTGATCTCGGCTTGGTGGTCTGTGATGACTTGAGAGTGGGATGGGGGATGTAGGTGGGAGGTAGGTCCAAGAGAGAGGGGATACATGTATACACATAGCTGATTCACTTCATTGAACAGCAGAAAGTGACGCACCATTGTAAAGCAATTACACTCCAATACAAACAAAACAAAAAAACCCCACCATGGATGGACCAGAAAAACCCAGCCTGTGGCAGGTGGCACAAGAGGCGATGAACACCTCTCATCCCAAGAAACTGCAGAGGAGGGAGCACTGTTGTGGAAAGAATGAGGTGGCTCTTCTCTTGAAGGAGAGGATTTGAGGATGGAAGACTGTTGTTTACCATGGAATGTATGCCCCAGAAGGTGAAGAGGAAAGATTTTAGAGAGAAGGGTATGGCAGGAAGGAGAAGAAAAGCAGAGACTAATTCTTGGATACGAATGTTAGCAGAAGAGGTGGTAATTCAGGTGACAGTAAATAGTGCCAGTTTAAACTTTAACTGTTATTTTGAATTATTTCCTTTGGTGCTTGTTATAATTAGTTAGAAAAGGTCTCAATATTCAAACTATTTAGGTTAACACTTTTTGAAAATATCTGAAGGTGCCCGCTTTTTGCTTTTAAATTTATCTAGCATCTTGGGGACTTAATATGTTTTCAGAAATTTGTCTTTTAATGTATAAGAGAAAGTTGAAAGCAACCTTGCTTCT